TCAGCGGTTCATTCATCATTGGTGCTTTCATTGAGAGGGTTTCGTTGAGAGGGTTTTGAGAGGTGCTGATCGTGTTTTTATTTATCTTTTCTTTTCTTTTTTTCGGTTTGCCTTTTGCTGATGGGCCGAATTTCTCTTTATTTTTTGGTTTGAGGGGTTCGAATATTGTTTCGAATTTTCCCTTATTTTTTCGAAATTGAGTCTTAAAAAAAAAGTGTCATCTTGTTAGTCCTTTGTTTGATTTTTGTTCGGTTATTACCTTTTGTTGAGGGGCCGAATTTCTTTTTGTTTCAATTTTTTTGAGTCTTTGTTGGGGGTTCGATTTTTCGAATTTTTCCCCTATTTTGTTCGAATTTTTAGAGTCAAAAAAAAAAGAAGAAGAATGTCTTACCCACCATTGGATGAGTTAGATTGGGAAGATCTGGAGATGTTGGAAGGTTTGGAAAGAGAGCTCACACCATGGGAAGCAACATATCTAGACGAGCTTCATGAGCGAAGGAATATTGAAGAGTACGAGCGACAACTCATGGAAGCCCGAGAAGCAATGGTGATCGATGCTCATAACCACGAAGATGAAGGAGAGCTAAATTTTCTGATCCTTGAGGACAAGGAAAGTCTCGAAGAGGAGGGGAATGATACGGAAGTGGTCATCAACCCAGGCGAGTCGGAGGGTGAAGGTGGCGATGGTCTTGATATTTGGTTGGAAAACATGTTGGAGGAGCCATCTAGCCCGATTTGTCGGGAGAAGTTCATGTTTGGCCGAGAGAAATGGCTCAACACCATAGGCGACGTGCGGTGCGCACGCCATTGGTCGTGGTAGTCCGTTGAGCCAAAGTTTATATTTTCCTCGTGCATTTCAGGGAATTAAGTTGTCATGATCATTTTATGGGGTATCATGTTATTTAATGTTGTAATAGACGAGAGATTGCGCCGGGCGGCTGGCAAGGGCCGGTCGTGACCGCGATGCCCGCACGTAGCGGCAGCAGCGCGCCGGCAGTCAGTGATACGGAAGTAGTCATCAACCCAGGCGAGTCGGAGGATGAAGGTGGCGATGGTCTTGATATTTGGTTGGAAAACATGTTGGAGGAGCCATCTAGCCCGATTTACCGACCATCATGTACAAGGGATTGACCAAAAGGATGTGGTCCGCAAGCTAAACTCAAGCCTAAGGGACGCAAGAACAAAAGAACTCAAAGGAAAGGCAAGGCCAAGGCTATGGAACCAAGTTGTAGGTGCGAGCCTTGTGCAAAGAAAAGACGAGCTCAAATGAAGGAGGCTAAAAGGCGTGGTTTGCGATGGGTTAGAGAAGGGTGGTGGATACCGG